AAAAAAAAAAAAAAAGAAAAACTGACCCGCAATTAAGCATTTGCATCTCACACTCGTTCTTGTATATGCTTCCATCCGATCCGCAGGTTGGAACTTCCGGCTCGTTTTTGCAGTCCAAGGGACAGGCGTTCGACTGGCCACCGGACGTCCGTTCCAGTGACACGCAGTATGACATCGGCACCTCGAACACGTGTTTGCTAAACGATTGATATCGTGGTGAGTCTGGTGACGTGTAAAAAGCGAACAGGTTCGCTAGTTATTCACGGCGTTGGCGACGTGTCGCGCGCGCCTGCCTCTGATCGAGGACTTTCTCGAAGATGTGTTTCTTACCCGCAGTTCTTTGCTCGCATTTTACAGGTGTTCGAATAGAGGATTCCGTCGCTACCACAGGCTGGCTTAGCACCACGCCAGCATGATTCACGACAATGTCTCGTGGTTTGACAGTGCTTCTTATTTGTACGTACGACGCCTTGTCTACGATCGAACAGTCATTGGATGCAACCATTGAATCAAAGAAAATTATGGAATGTTCTACTTATAATAATAATAACCAGAACAAAGCTATCATCTGCGTGAGATCACGTACCCGCAGGTGAGCAGCTTCATTTGACACGTAGACTTGTAGACATTGCCGTCGCTTCCACAGATCGGCCCATCGAGTGGTGCAAAGTCGCAGGAGACTGGACAGTTTTCCCTGTGCGCGGAGATGTTGTTGCATGGGCCCAGGTGTGACAGTTCGATACCGACTCGACAGATCTCGACTCTAAGCATGCATTTGTTGAGATACGTGCGACCGTCGGTACCACATACCGGATCCTGATCGCCGGGGCATCGGTGCTCGCACTTACTACCGGACGACCTTAGGCAAGCGGTCTTTTCCGTAGCTATGGTCACGCCTATGCAATTTGCAAAGTACCGATAATTAGTACCGGCTCCCAGCGGTGCAACCGATAGGCTGCGCGAAATGTGCCGCCACGTTTACTCTTAACAGATTATCATTAATGGTATTCGGAGAATACGATTTAAGGTTGTTCAGCATGCGAAACGTAAATGTCTCGATGCATCACTTTGGCGGTCGTTGTAAAGCAACTGCTTAATTGCCGACGATACTTCACCGCGCGTACGCATCTTCTAATCATAATTATTACACGGTTAAAAGGGGCTCCTTACCTTTTCCACACATCTTCTTTCGCATTTCACACTGGGACGCGTAGATCACTCCGTCGCTACCGCAGACTGGCTCTCCACTTGGCGGACATATTCGGGGACAGGCGCCGGTCACGAAATCTGCAGAGAAATTAATAAAACAGATTATAAAAAAATCTCGTTAACGTTTGATCGATCTCGAAAGAAAGTCTTTTGCACACAGCATTTCTTTCAAGATCAAGTAGATACTACATATGAAACGAAATATTGTTTATTGTTACTTGGGTTTATAGCGAGTCATCAAAACGTATATTTTATATATATAATATGCAAGAAGACCTTGTATATATAAAGTCTTCTTTATCAAACCAGCAGTAAGCATTAACCATAATTACAATGGAAAGATGAACGCGCAAGCCCAAGGAAGAAGGTGACCGGCAGAAGATAAATACCTGCGAAGAATCAAAGGAAACGTTGGTAATTGGAGCCTAGATCGTTTCTGTGCTGGCACCGCAGATCTGCACCGCATCGAAAAAGCGGATCTGCGCGTGTTCGTTTCAGAGTGTGAAAGGTCGAGTTAAAAATAATCGAGCAGACCGGAAGGGAAGAAGCAAAGAAATTGCACTCGTCCCTGGATTCTCCTGTATCGTCTTGTAATATTTCTTTCTTTCTTTCTTTTTCTTTTTTTTTTTTCTTTTTTGTAGCAACCACGTGTAATGGTAACATTAAACCGAGAGATTCTGTCGAAACTTTAATTGCTTCCTGTTGACCCTCCGTGTAGATATCTCTTCAGCAGCGAGTCTGCTGGCTTGGTTTCGGTCCAGCGATCACCGGGTCAACAGCACACGGAATTTACTACAGTCGTTCTACGCTGGCACGCATAATATGTAACAAATTATAAAATCGAGGTATACAGTTAAAGATAACCGACGCGAGGAGAGGGCGCGAGACGCGAGACACGGTCACGCGGATACCGATACAGCAGACAAACGCAACCGGGGGATAATTTAAACGAAGCTCGATCACGTGATTAATTGGCAGACACACGGAACAATCTTCCGACGGTATAACGTTCATCCGGTTGCCTCTCTCTAATCTGAGAGATAGCATGCACGGTAAACGTTGCGGCGTACAAGAGTGTAAAAAAGCACACGATCCTAAGCGATCTCTACAAGACCGGTACGTTCTAGTCGTTACCGGAATGTCAAGTGAACAATACGAGCTTAATGGACGATTCGTTCTCTGTTCTCGCAACTCGATAATTTATCTACGATCTTGGTCACGCATCGCGCGCGTATGCACTCCGCTCTGCTTCGCCCCGCGCTGCGCCAGAGCGTGAAAGAACGACGGACGGGGGCCTGTTCGACGCTCGTGACGATCTTTTTGGAGGAATCGCGCGATGACGAGGACGGCTCCTTTCGCGTAACGATCGAGTTAGACTCTCCTCCAGGATACAATTTGCCGGAATCGCGCGCGATCAGAGCGAACGGTCCGATATCACGTTCGCCTGCGATGGTAATTCGTAGCTTGCTGAATCCGAGAATCTGCGCTCGAATTCACAAAGTGAACGAGATAGTATACCGATACGCATTGTAATATGGGGGACCGTGGTTCTTCCTGCTCTTGGCCACCGCACCTTACAAAGACGCCGCGAACATCGCCGATATTATACCCTCTTTCCGCGTAATAATCGAGTTACGCTCCTTCCTGCTTCGCGGGGAGCCGAAGCACGCTAATAACTGAATACGGTCAGAGATAAGCATGATGCGAGTTTTACGAGCGTATGCTTTCCATAATTACGACGATTTCGATTTATCGATCGAACGATATTGGCTAATGTAGCTCGGTCGCGGTATACGCTACGACCAAATATAAATTGAATTTCCATTAAGAGAGAGATAGAGAGAGAGAGAGAGAGAGAGAAAGGGAAGAAAAAGGCACGAGTGCGTGAATGTTTTAAAACTTCTCAGATGGCGCTGAGACACGCGGCAGATCGTTAAAGATCTTGAAGCAGAAACTTGCTGGACTGCTGGATATTCCGTATATCTCACAGGATTCCGAATCGCGTCGTATAAAATCGCTGACATTGATGAAGAAAACGACGCTCGAGTTTAATCGAGCTGCTCGAGGCTGCCGGAGAAAAAGGATAGCCCGTGTCGAAGGAACGGAGGAAAGAAATCGTAGATTACAAGAAAAAACGATTATAATTCTTGCGTACGACAAGTAGAAAAAGACGCCATAAGCTTCTCGAGTGGAAGAGTACCAAGACAACCGAAAGAAGGCAAAACGGAGCAACGAGCGAGGGAGAAGAACAAGGAGAAGAAGATAAGGAGCAGAGAATGAGATTCTTCCTCGGAGCAGACGTCAGTTGGTCAAATGGACGTATGATTAGCGGCGTTGATAGGCGGCAGAAGGAGGTGTCCGTCACTCCCACGAACGCGATTAAGTGAATCAATTATGCCAATAACGGAGTGACTAGTCTGGCCAGGGGGCGATTGGCGGACAATGCAGATCGAATTATATCCCCGTAGAAGACGTATGAGTCGCACGAGCGAGCGCGTGCATACATGCGAAGGATGGTGCACAATGGATACGCGCCACTTGCTCCAACAAGAGGGAACGAG